TGGGGTCCTGATACTACAGCCAAGACTACACCGTATTTATACCATAGAATAGTTGGCATGTTATTATACTTGTCAAAAAAAAAAAATTGTATGTTATCATCGCTATCCGATGCAGGACCTTATTGATTTACTGTCAGTTCCGTGTTCTATTATTTACAAGCACTCGACATCTTATGGTTCTCTTACTTCCCTTTTCGCCTTTTGTTTCTGAACTTTACTCAGAGAGGAAGAGCTGATTTGGCTGAAGAAGAGCTTGAAAAGCTAATGGGAGCATCACATGTTAAATATGCCATTGCAGAAATGTCAAAGACAGACAAAGGAGATGAGGTGGATAATGTTAGGTTTGGGGAGCTACTGTATGGTCGTCATTTTAAAGGTATAATTATTGATGATGTGTTTTCATTCTGTCAATGTTTTCTTGTCTGAAAAAGTTAATGAATTTATAACTTTTGCCGATTGGACAGTGGTTTTCATGGGATCTGCCTTATTTGCTTTGCAACAACTATCTGGTATAAATGCTGTATTTTATTTCTCTTCAACTGTTTTTAAAAAGGCTGGAGTACCTTCAGACATTGCAAACACATGCGTTGGGATCGTAAACTTAACAGGTAACAGTCATCTCTCCATATCAAACATGTATAACACTCTTGGAGACTTGGATGTGTTGGTGATTTCTAATTTTACTGTTGTCTTTAACATCCACAGGGTCTATTATTGCAATGATTTTGATGGATAGGCTTGGGAGGAAGGTGCTTCTAATTGGGAGTTTCTTTGGCATGGTAACATAATCTTGTGCTCAATCCCATATCAATCAATACTCAATAGGAGCATGTAGTTCCAAAACATGTGTCTGTGCTTGGTTGCTTACCATGGTTTGTCCTAGACGTGTCACTATATTTTGTTTTCTCATGCTTAAACTTCTGAGATGTTTTTGGTTCAGGCAATTGCAACGGCCCTTCAAGTAACAGCAGCGAGTTCATTTGTACCAAGCTCTGCAGTATTATTCCTATCAGTTGGTGGGACCCTACTGTGAGTAATACACTTCAAGATTGTCGTTGTTGTAGTGGTTGATTACTCATAGATAGGAGTAGATATGCTCTTTATACTGTTGTAAAGCACCTAAGAGATGAAGATAAGTAGTTTCAGTACTGCTTCTGTGGATAATTGTTTCAATTGATTTCTAGAGAAAAGTGTCATGTACTTGGTGACTGTTAAATCAATGAAAGATGAGACAATTTCATGCTATAGGTAGCTTTATTGACTATTATGAAGATAACTAGAAATGCACAAAAAGCAAAGGCTGGTTGTTTTCTTTCAATAATGGAAGTTATTTATGTTAGGTATGTCTTGGCATTTTCTTTGGGCGCTGGGCCAGTCCCTAGCCTCCTACTGTCAGAGATATTTCCTGGCCGGATTAGGGCAAAGGCAATGGCTTTCTGCATGGCTGCACATTGGGTATTTTCTTCCTGCTCTTGATTCTTTTGTTTCATGCTAATTATTCTCTTTGCTTTCTCCTTGGATGAACAATATATGATGCAATGTGTTCATAAGCAAACCTTCAAGTCTGAGTAACGTTTTTTATCTGCTTGAGGTTATTGAGTATTGGGATGACTCGGGTCCAAACAGAGTGAAAATGGATGTTGAGGATTCATATGGCCAACTTTAACTTGTTTGGGCTTGATGCAAAATACTAGTTGTTGAGGGAGGGGGTGACTGTAAGGAGGGGGATTATTCACTGGTATTAGCTTGGAATTACACATTTAATAGAAACGCATATTTCTCATTGATTAATACATAAACTAGCTGTCGAGTCATTTGACACAATGAGACGCTGCTGAGAGCATCAGCCTAAATGTACACACATAGCCACATTGGGCGTAAGTCAAACAGACCCGTGCAGGTAAATTCATCCATCGCAAGTCACAGGTTTGAACCCTGCTGCAGAGAAAATCATGGTATTTAATTGGACAAGGGTAGCGGGGCGGGCCCATTATCGCCGAGTTCCGAACTGTGTGCCACTAGCCCTTCGAGAAGTCTCGGTTATCAGTAAAAAGATCATTGCATCTTGAGCCAGAGAACTGTTCTGTCTGCACAATCTACTTAAGTGGTAATTAAACCAATTGCGTTACGTTGCTCATTGCATGACAAAATGGATCTCCTTGTTCTAAGCCCCTTAAGCTGCCAAGAAGCAGAAAAAATGAACTATTTAGAGTGATGGGGGACTCTAGGGGTATCCTAATTCACCCCGAAACTTGTTCTACAGTATTTATTTCGTATTCTTTGCTTCAAATAAGAATCAAATCTTTGCACATGATCAACTCTTTGAATCTCTGACGAAATGTTGGATGGTCAAAGTATTTTGTGCTTAAAATAAAAGTCTGCCCAGAAGACTTTTGACATCATTCTAAGGGAGATCTAAAATTTGGCTGGTAAATGTAAATACTGTTCTGAGCGCAAAATGGTATGAGATCATTTTTTATATATAAAAAATGGAAAAGAAATGAGATGGCTACTTATGTCCCCATTCGCATTCTAGTTCATGCTTGGTTCAGCTACATCAGTAATTTGTATTGTGAAGTGTTCTTGGCATTTGCCATTTATTATAATTTTAATTATTATTATTCTTGTTGTTGCTGTTGTTGTTGAAATCTCATAGCTTTTGTTTTATCTGAAATCTCATACCTTTTTGGTGAGACTGATGCTTTAATTTTTCGTCTTTTCTTTCCTAATGTATTCTGATCGCATATTTTGCTCTTTAACAGGTCATCAATTTTTTAGTTGGTCTTCTGTTTCTGCCGATGCTTGAGCATCTTGGACCACAAATTGTGTATGCAATCTTTGCTGGTTTTTGCTTGTTGGCAGTGGCCTTTGTGAAAAAGAATGTGGTGGAAACAAAAGGAAAAACATTACAAGAGATTGAGTTTGCTCTGCTTCCGGCTCATTAGTGGTAACTGGATCACACACTATATTAGTCAGACTGGGAAATGTTCAGACGTAGTGGTTGAACATCCAAATTCTAGCCTGCAGCTATTTCTTGATTTGTTCAAATTTTGGAGTGTGTTCATAGGCGAGAAGGCAGTGACGATGAACAATCAGAGATAAAGATTGTTGCAATGCGAGTTTTTGCAGGGCTTGTCACTGCTTATTGTTGCTGCTATTCTGCTCACTCCACTGGTCAGTGACTATTGCCTGAGGGAGCATGAAACTACATCTGCCTCAGCCAGTAGTAGATCACATACATACAGAGTACCTATTATTGCTGTTTGTATAGCCTTTCTTTTAATTTTTGCCTTGATCTGATTTGTGTAATTAGCATGGCACAGAAAGGCTGCTCTGGACATTCCTTACAGAAATAATGTTATAGAAATTTAATTAGCAATATATATGGTAGGCTGGTAGCTGCTTGCTGTAACAGAAATATTGGTAGTACTGTAATACGTAATTGATCAATGTAGCTGAGATTTTTCCCAATTTGGCTTCAGCAATGATTTTGTTATGTTTGCTATAATATCTCAAATTGCCAGCTAGCTAGGAAGCCAAACTGTCAAGTATGTTGGCCATTCTCATATTTTTCTCAATAGAATTATCTGCTCTAAGTGATCGAGGGCTTTGGTTCAGCAGTAAGGACTAGTGGCGGAGCCGGAAATTTCTCAAGCGTGTTCAAATTTGAAAGAATTTCTCAAGTGTGTTCAAATCTGTTGGGACCAAACTGGGTTTGTTGTTGTTGTTGTCTTTCAAATTTGAAAGAAGTAAAAAAAGTTTCCGATAAAGGGTGTTCAATATATGTTATGTAGCTCTAAAACCTGATATTTTACCTATATACGTAGTGTAATTTTCCGACAAATTGACACCCTTACCAAAGTGTAACTTCGCCCTTGATAAGGTCATAGCACATGATGTGTGGATTAGTCCCCCGTCACAGGTTTGAACCATACCACAGACAGAGCCTGGTATTTTAGTTGGGAGGAGAACAAGAGGGGCAAGGCTCGTACTCTCCCAAGTTCTGAATCTGTGTGCTAGACAGAGTCGAGCCAAAAAGCTGTAAGGAATATCTGCGATATTCTTTTATTGAAAAAAAAACTGATCGTCTTGGTTGTATGTAAGGTACAGTTTGGTAATCACGCCATAATGCTAAACATGTACTACATATTATTGCGTTTAGTCATGCATTAGCTGTTATAATGATGCTAAGCATGTCTAGTTATATGATATAGTGGCTTATTGTGAACTTCATTATTCTCTCAAACTGTTTTAATGCATCACACGTCTCTCCGATCGATAAGTTGACTTTGAATAACTTTTCTTTTTTGGACTTTGAATTATTAGCTTCCAGAAAGCAGTTTCTTTTTCTTTTTCTAAATAATAGTACGCAAGAAAAAAAATAACAGCAAGAGAGTTGAAGAGTGAAATCAGAGACGAGGATAGCCTAATATATCTACAACGAAAATAAAACTACTAGAATGCTAATTAAAACAATAAAGTCAGCATCATTATAACAACATCCATATATAATAACCATTCACTATAAATCCAAGTTTTTGAAACCGATTTTAACATTACATTATAAAATATGTTCTTTATGACAGCACTTCACTATAGCAGTCAAAAAATATCGGAACAAACGATTATCGGTACAAACGAGTCTGTTATAGAAAGGTTTGACTGTATATGAAAAGGGACGTTGTACTAATCCTCTTTCCAATTTGCAACTAGTCACCAAACTCGGCTAGTTGCAAATGAATACATAGCCAACTTGGAATAAAATGCTCTTGGAAGCTTCTTGTAATTAACTTGAGTTATAATTAGAAATATTCGTACTACTATTTTACCTCCTTAATTTTGTGCAGTTCTGTGATTTTGGTAGAATCCTAAAATATTGTATAACGTGGAAAAGGACATGCAGCTAATCTGAGTAATCTCATTGATTAGTTTTTCCAAGTCAAAGATGCCATCTACTCTGGACATGTCTGTTTTCTCGTCAACATATCACACACAACCATTTCCCCTATATTATATGAAAGAAAGAGCTCATTTGATATTTGAGCAGAAAATTTTCTTCACCCTACTTGAGGTATAGGTGTAAAAGTTTTGAATACAATGGGAAGAGTTGAAGAAAATAATGAAATAGAAACTCCTGAACCAGTTGCCTCACAGCCTCCTCCACAGTACCAAGGAGTAAAGGATGTACAGCCGCCATCGCCATCGCCATCGCCATCGCCATCGCCATCACCATTACCAATTGGAGCTCCCTGGAGCACTGGCTTATTTGATTGTCATTTGGACCAAACTAATGGTAATTGAATTTTTTTTTTCCGTGCCAATACTATTGGAGAAAACAATATAAGAGAAGAAAGTCATGTTTCCTCTATATATTAATGAAAAATTTAATTAAAAGAAAAACTAGGAACATCAAGGATCGGATTAAAGAACATTCTTGTTTGTGCAGTTGTCACGACAAACGTTCTACTGACTTAAAATCCTTGATCCGCTTCTGTAGAAAATCCTTGATTCTATAGTTGTTTAGACAAACATTTACTGACTTAAAATCCTTGATCTACTTGTAAGGAATATTCTTGTTTGTGCAGCTGTTATGACAGCATTCTTACCTTGTGTAACATTCGGACAGATAGCAGAAGTCCTCGATGCAGGAGAAATGAGTAAGTCCCAAATGTGCCTGCAATTCTTTTTACATCGTCAGTATATAGAAGTTAAACTCTTTCCCTCTTATCTTTTCCTTTCGAGCAATAAAACAGTGTCATTGGTGAACGAAGAGTAGTTGCTGGCTTATGCTGTGAAATAATATTCCACTAATTAAGGATTGATTTTTTTTATGGTGATTGCAGCATGTCCTTTGGGGACTTTCCTATACTTGCTGATGATGCCTGCTGTTTGCTCTCAGTGGATAATGGGCTCCAAGTATAGAACTAAGCTGAGACAGAAATATAATCTTGTGGAAGCTCCTTATTCAGATATAGTTTCCCACATTTTCTGTCCATGTTGCTCTCTTTGTCAAGAGTTCAGAGAGCTTCAACACAGGGGACTTGATCCTGCTCTAGGTATGTATGTCAAACTTGGTACAATAATCTTTTCACCATATTGTAGGCAGGAGTATGGAGCCTTGGCGTAACTAGTAAAGTTGCTGCCATGTGACCAGGAGGTCACGGGTTCGAGCAGTAGAAATAGCCTCTTGCAGAAATGCAGGGTAAGGCTGCGTACGATAGACCCTTGTGATCCGGCCCTTACCCGGACCCCGCGCATAGTGGGAGCTTAGTGCACCACAATTGCCCTTTATACTGTAGGCAGGGCGGAAGGGGGGGGGGGGGGGTACGGTGAACCCCTTCGCGGAAAAATTACATCGTACATATAATGCAAAATCTATTTTCTTGAACCCCCTTAGTGGAAATCTTGCCTCCGCTATCGATTGTACGGTGTAATTCAGGCCGGTTATTTTTCTTGAATCGAATACGTGAAAATATTTTTGTTGATTTGTGGTGATGGAAATTCTAATCCAAAGTTTTAACCTTGTTCTAATACCATTGAACTGAATGTACAAGAAAGAAATAATTTTCTAACAGGAGTGTGAAAAATGTGATGCAGGATGGAATGGTATTGTTGCTCAGCAGCATTATGGGAACCAACAAGTGAATCAAGCTCCCCAAGTACAATCCATGTCTAAGTAAAATTCAAGATTCTGATTCTTTATTTGTTTGAGTTGAGGTTGTAATATGTTACATGTGTTTTGCTACAACCACATTCTGTTCATGTGTAGTCTTATTATTTATTCTACCATCTTGTTGGTAGTGTTGATTGTTGTACTATATTTCTAAAACTCCATTTTTGTTAGATTATTGTTTTACTGGAAGCAATACCTTCTGGTCTATGTGCTACAAACAAGACAAATCAATCTTTGGTATGCTGTGGAGAATTCATCATATGATATCAATCAATCAATTACGCGTCAGTTCCAAACTAGTTAAAATCGTTAATATATATCCTCTACAATATCAGATTTAAAAAAAAAAAAGAAAAATTCTCCCAGAATTTAATTCAGGGGATAAGGAGAATCTCTTCATTCCATGATTTGATGAGAAGTCCCTTTATTCTCGTAAGGGTAAGGTGTGCGTGCACACTACCCTCCCCAGACTCCACGGTGTGGTATAATACTAGGTACGTTGTTGTTGTCATCGTCACTTTATTCAAATAAAATGAATTAGCAAGACGAATATTTGTGCACAGGGAAGCCATAAACCAAGCGAACAAGAACAAGGAAAACAAAGAGATCTTTGGGAGTTCCATACTTCCGTGTATATGAAAATTGATTTTGCAATGATCTAATGAAGTCTTGGCATCAATTATTAGTTGGGCCGGTCGATTTATTGCTAAATATTTGCGTGGAAATGACACTGGATAGCCACTTTTAAGCATACTGTTTAAAATACATCCACAGTTTATAATGTATTTAAAGATTGACCAATTCGCTTAAACTTCAAGATACGACGTCCTGAAGTTTAAACCTTGAAATTCAAACTTCAGGGATCGTGTTCTAAAGTTCGAAAATTGTGTCCAGAGATTCGAATCTTATGTCCTGAATTTTAAATTAGCAGTTTAGAAATTCAGGTTACTTCGTCCTGAAATTCAAATTAATAGCTCAAAAGTTTAGGACACTAAGTCATGAATTCCAAATTAACAACTCAAAATTTCAGGATACAGAAATTCAGGATACTTAGTCCTGAAATTTGGGTGAATTGACTAATCTTTAAAGACATTGTAAATTTATGAATATATTTTAAACAGCAGGTTTAAAAGTTGCTATTGGGCTAAGAACTGCAGTAACTTATGAAACTAGTTGGGCCTCTAACTCGATCATATTTTTCTTGTCGGGCCTTCATTTTACTTGATTTTTTTTTGCCAGTATATCTGTATTTTCCAGAAGTTAGGTTTGTTTAGAATGGAAGGAAAGAAGACGCTAGAATTTAGACGACATAGTGAATTTATATAGTTGTTATATTTAAACTTGTTATGTGCACATATGGATAAAGTTCCTATAGTTTAATCCCAAATCCACAAACCCATGGTTGAATCAGCTGCTAATGATAGATTGGTAGTATAGTAAAATACAGAATTAGTCGGATCATCATTTCTCCTCTCCTTTTCTGTTATGGTCACAGTTAATTTGACTTATCATTAATGTTTTCATAAGTTTTATTGATTTTACATTTTACTTCATAAACCTATCTTAGTCAAATTAAGTTGAAACCAGGAAGTGATACATTCTTTACAACGTTAGAAAGCAAGGACAAGGCGTTCATCATATTGCTGTTTTCGGATATTCTAAATCATGTCCTCCGGCTGAAAAATGTTTTTTCTTGAGCCGAGGATCTATCGTAAACAATCTTTCTACCTCTACAAGATAAGATAAGATCTGCGTATACAGTACCCTCCCGATACCTCACACTGTAGAAATACACTGAATATATTGTTGTTGTTGTCGTCTTGGTCTTTTATGATTAGTTCTATAATTGGGTTTCCAGCTACCGACTGACAATAGACAGGATTAAAATACTGTCCATTATCATCATTATACCCAAAAAGCACAAACAAATGAATAAGGAATAAAGTTAGAATGAATATATTGTTTGATGCGGTACCATAAAAGGAAGAAAGAAGTTGTGGTACCCGGTTCAATGCAAAACTTATTGGGATCGCTTATATACTATAATATGGTTAAGGGAATACATTATAGTTAGACGTACTATTTTTTTAATTTTTATTTCCATAGCTATAATTTACAAGCAGAGACTAAGTACAAAATCTAAATACTTCTAAGTAAGTTGAATTAACCAGCTGGTCATTTGATCCGAGATTAAGAGATTTAACAACTCAACTTATTTGGATGTTTGTGGAGATTCTGATAATCCATAATCGTAGCTTCAATGATGGTCATAACATGTGTGATTTTTCTAGCTAGTAACCAAATTAAGTCTATTGAACGGCAAACATGCTCAGTAATATTGCATTATCTCATCGAGTAGGGTTAATCTTTCCTTTTTAGAAGTAGTGGATCTAGCATTTCCTTACCTAAACTACTGTTATGCTTGACCGAGGGTCTATCGGAAACAGATTTTCTACCTTAATAAGGTAGGGGTAAAATGTTGCACACTACCCTCCCCAGACCCTACTTGCAAGAATATACTAGGTATGTTATTGTTGTTTAAGCAATAGATGTACTAGGCATGGTTTCAATAGCATCCATTGTTTTAACCTCCAATTCTGCCTTTTAGCTTCCTTTGGGACCGATTCACTCTTAAATTGACTTAACGCAGTGTTTAACCAAAAATATGTATTTAAAAAAACTCGGGTTACTGATAACCAAGAAATTTCGTACTTTCTCAATTATATGAAAGAAAAAGACAATAAGTAAAGAAATAATTGATTGCAAAGTCAAGATAGCAGAAAAGTAAAGTGAATATATTCCAATATAGTCTCAGATGATCCTTACAAACGAAATTCTCTTCCCTTTTATAGGAGTTTACGAATATAACATTTCCTCCCTTGTATGGCCGGATCATTATGACATTAATGACATTAATGATCTGTTTATAATTGACAATCGTAACTGTTTGTGGAGATTTTGTAACGGTTCCAATTCTTATTCCTCATTAACTAGAGGTTCGTGAATATTCCCCTTCTTACTGTCTTGATTCATTCAACCCATATTTACTGAATGATTTAGACACGAGCAACTGCATCCCTTCATCCCGTGAGTAATTTGCCCGTGCCTCTTGTATCTCGTGCATCTTCTAATGCAATATTCCAGCTGTCATCTTCTTAGTGATCCACGTATTATGTCTTGTTAGCCACACATAATTCCACGTGTCATATTTATTTTTTACTAATACAGATAGTCCTCCCACTTGCCGAATATTAAGCAATTGAATACTTGGGAAGTGGTATGTATTTATGGCAGGAATTTTTGCCGCCGTTTCCCATGTATCATTATGTCTTCTTCAGAAACAACGCATCGTATGTCACTTCCATTTAATGCATGTGCCATGTGGCCTCCGCCGATTGGGTCTGCGACACTTCAGCATTTTTTAGGGCTTTCTTGCGGCTGCGTCAATCACGAAGTGACTACTTCATTATGATGTTTCCATCATGACTCACTTTACATGACGATTGCTCCTTCTTATAAATACCCCATGCGCCTTTAGTTTCGCGAAACCCTTCAATCTACAGTATCCTTCTCCTCTAATTGTTATTATTCTTCAGTTCATATTACTTTCTTGCATCCATGTCTTTACCAAACCCCAATCCTCGTAAAATAATCATTGTAGATGAACTTCCTCCTTCAACTACTCCTGTTAGGAGTAGAAGAGGAGGTAGGTCACGTAGCTTAGGGTCTTTATCTATCCGTGGTTCTACTTCTCAACTCAACATTGTTACCCCTTCTTCATCTAGGACTAGGCCCATAGATCTTCAGCCAAAAATAGGGAATCAGATGAACCCCTTCGAGAACCAACAGTAGATGAAATTATCCCTGCGGAATTTTCTTTCTCCACTGATCGTGAATCAATTAGAAACCAAGTTACTTCTATGACTTCCCATGATCGTGTTGATGTCTATCCTTCTCATATTACTGATGGTTTGATTTCTCTTGTGCGAAGAGAATGCTATTGGAAGCCTGATTTTCCAATTTTAATTCCTGGTCCAAACCAAAGGATAACTTCGTTCCTGTCTGGTTATTCTTTCGTTTACACATATCCTGTTACTTTAGGTTTCAGACCCCCTATCGACCCAGTTATCATAGAATTTTGTCGCTTCTTCAACGTTTTCTTAGGACAGATTGGTCCTATTATATGGAGAGCCGTTGCATGTTTACGATACTTATCTAATTTGGCCTCTTTACCCTTCACTTCTCAACACTTGCTTCATCTGTATTCCCCTAAGTTGTTCCGCTCAGGGGTTTACACTCTCGCTGCCAGGAGCAAAAGGGTTTTGGTTAGCTCTGAAGATGATAAGGACCGTGGCTGGTATGCCCGTTTCATTGCTGTTGGAGCCATGCCTTTTCCAGAGAAGTGGAATTTTGCACGTAAGTTCTTTTTCATATTTTTCTTCTTTTATGAAGGAGGAAGAAATTGATGATCTCATGGACGTTTTTTCTCTTTTTAGCAACCATGGAAGTTTTTGATGAAATACCAGACTTCCGTGCTTGGGTAGAGAAGATGTTATCGGTTGCCCCCATGGAAAGAAGATCATGGAAATACCTTTCTCATAGGTTTGGCTGGAAAGTCAAAACTCATGGTATCTTTTCCTTTAATTTTTTTCCTTTCTTTCGTATTTACTTGGGGATTTATAACTTTTTCCTTTGTTAAGATTTCCCATTCGAGGTGTCAGTGCCGCGTCTATTACTTTACAAGGCTTTCTTTGTCTCTTGCTCAAGAAATGATTTTAAATTCCTCATCAAAGAGAAAAGCTGAGAGAGCTCATGGCTCTGATGGTGAAGAGGAACGAGAAGAGGGTTCCTTAGTGCGCAGGCCTCGGGCTAGAAGGCGCGTTATTTCGGATGATGAAGTCACCCCTCCTCCAAGTTCAGTTCCCGTGAATGATCCTGAAAGTGTTGTTTTAACGAGCTCTGATGAGGAGATGAATGTTGCACCTCGTGACTCTACTGATCAATTGTTTTCCCGGGGTTTTGATAATGAAGATTTTGACTTTGTTTCTGAAGAAGCTCCTCTTGCCTCTTTCCCAGTGTCCGCTCCCACTGGTCCTCAAGTTTTTGCTCCTGTCGCTGCTGCTACTGCTCCTCTCGTGGATGTTTTCACTTTCTCAACTGTCCCTACTGCTACCACTTCTCGTATTGAAGTTGGTTCTTCCAGTAGCAATAGGATGAAAAAATTTACCATTGAAGTCCCCTAGGATGGTAATCT